ACCAACTCACCGCCATTGAGTCAGTTCTGACTCCTAAGAGGGAAGGACACAGGGAGGACCTGGAATGAGAATGAAGGACGTGCATTGTGGGGATTGCAAACAGTGGCAGGAAACAAAATGTGTATACATTGCTGAATGGAAAATTGATTTGCTATAAACCTTCACTCAAAATCAAATAAATATATATTTTTTGGTCGAGATTTCTAGATTAAATTTACCTCCTATAGAATGTCTCTTTCACAAGCCTTTGAACTTTAACAAAAAAATTAATATATTATTTTTCTATTTCGCAGTTCAAGTACAATTCACCCTAATTTTGTTATATAAAACACCAGATCAACCTACTCTTTTATAAGGGCAATTTGCTTTTAAGTATGTATTTAATCTGGTTTAAAAATCTTCATGTTAAAACTAATGCTTCATCATCTCCACAGTACTTTTGGGAATTATTTTCCTGTTGCACACAGGAAACTCAAGCATTAGATATTTAAGTAAGCTATTTCTGTATCTTAGAATTACAATAGGAGCAAGAATCATGATGATAATATAAATATCCGAGGATTTTCTTTTTATTTTATTCCATAATTAAACTAGATGTTTATCTACTGATTTTTGGTTTTTCTTTTACAGCTTAATTTCTAAATGGCCAGTATAAATGGAACATGTCTATTTTGAAGAAATTTAAAAAGCGAGTCACTTTTCCCACTGAGCCCTGGGCTGTGTGTTATGCTAGCTGCTAGCTGTGGGATCTGTTTAAATCCAGCAGCCATTCCTTGGGAGAAAGTTGGGGATACAGTAGAGTTTGGTGAAGATGGAGTTAATGAGGTCTTCCCTGGCTGCAGTCACTGCCTGCCTTTTGTTGCTGAGAGCAACTTTTTTTTTGCAGATAATCTGCAATAAACTTTATTACAGAAAGAAGCTGGCAGATAGAAATGGAGTAAGGAATTGAGAGAGAGGCAGACCTGTCTCATTACAGCTGACTCAAGAAAGCAGTAAGATATCAGTACCAGAGGGATAAGAGAGAACAAAGACTCACTTCGGGTTTTTAAGACCTTGGGATGTCTATAACTCTTTTAGACAGGAGAGTTTCCACGCATCTTTCTGGTTGGAGCCTACAGTGCCCCTGGGCAGACACTCAAAACTGCAGGCTGTGATGATGTCCTCTTGCCTCTTGGCCCCTGAGGAGGGGATAGGGAGCATAGATTTGTTTGTAAACAAATAGCGGAGGGTTAAAGCTGGCTAGAAACTGCAGTCTCACTTTGGACCCTTTAATAAGGCAGTGCCTGGGTGGTGTAAGCAGTTAACCACCGGATGCTGTGGAAAGGAGGTGGTGGCCATAGACCTTAGCTATGTCCACCTTTACAAGGGGGAGGAGAGAATCGCTGTCAGCAGCATCAACCAAAGCTGATTTTAAGTGCTGGGATTTATTAGGGAAATAACAGGTTACAGCTTGGGGTCAAGGACAGGTTCATGTAGGCATGGTCTCCATTCATTCAGTGCCAGGTAGCTCTCTCAGTTCCTTTCGGCCCTGTAGGCCTCTCTTGGCCCCTGAGAGCAGGTACCCTCGTGGCCCTTGGCCTGGCTTCTGCCTTGGGAGGTAAAGTGTTACAAACCTCTTTAGTTCCTCTGGTAAGTGCCCGGAGGCCCGTACTCTGCCTGGAAATCTCCTGCGGGAAGGCACTTGGTGCTCTTGCCCTGTGAATGTCTCATTTTTGATCAAAGAATGGCTACTAGATTAAATTCTTATATCAAACATAGTGTTTTTAAATATGAGAACATTCAGTTTCAATATTAATCTTATCAAAATGAATCCACTCCTTTCTCTATAAAACCCACATTTAATTGTATATCATGTAAGAACTTAGAGGCTTTTATAAGAATTTGGCAAAATCTCTCCGTGATCTGCCACGCTCACAGCCTCTTGCAATGACAGCTCTCCTGTCTCCTCCTCGGAGTTCTGGTGCTGGGGTTGGTTGGGGTCTGCCCATCACATGTCTATAGTTCAAAACAACCAGTCAGCCCGCAGGAGGAAGACGGAGTTTTCTACTCCTGGAACGAGTTACAGTCTCAGAAACTCACAGGCCAGTTCTACCCTCTCCTCAAGGGTCACTATGAGTTAATATCCACTTGATGGCAGGGAGTTTGGTGGGTTGTGTTTTTTTCCCCCTTTCGTTTTCTTTATCTCCTACTTATGCCATTTTAATAGTGGAGTAGAGATGCCCGCAACACCCTCCCCCCCCTTTCCCCAGGTTCCCACCACTACCCATTCAGCTTAGTTTAGCACTGACTCAAGGAAAAAGCAGACCTTTTTACTGCTGAGCTCCCTGAGTGCTGTAAAGGGCTAAGCTCTGGACATCTGGAGAAAAGGTGGGCAGTTTGATCCCACCCAGATGTGCCTTGGAAGACAAGCCTGGCGATCTCCTTGGGCAGTTCTACTCTGCCCACATTGAGTCCCTGGGGCCTAATCTGACTCCACATCAACTGACAACACACTGCGGAAGCTTGTGGCAGTTGATTGGCTTATTTGGAAGAAATACACTTTCATTTAAATTTTGCTAGGCAAGTTTTTGTTGTTGTTTTTAACTTCCCTGAAGTAATTGTCCTCAGGAAAGTACTGGGTTTAGTCTTTGTTCACCAGAGGTAAAATAAGTAACAAGGGGCATGGAGGATAAGAGAATCAAGTGGATTTTTTGGAGTTTTTTTGTTTTTTTTAACAGTTGCAGAAAACCAGACCCATGCTTTCTTTGCTCATGTACGTACATGTGTGTTCGTGTGTGCTCACCCACTCAGGGCTAGCCCTGCAGATGGAGAGCCCGCTCGGGTCTTTCCTTGAGCACTGCATGTGCCTTCCAGAGAAGTCCCGGATGATCTCATTACTTCAGAAGTTCACATTATGGCTTGTGAGGAGATCATCTACTTCTGTTGGCAGGGGTATTTTCTTATCTTAACATAGTTAAGTTTGAAAGTTCAGGCAGCTCATTTTTATAATACGGTTTTGGTGACTAATATGAACCTCTTCCTTACAATAGCCTCAATGGGTTTGTAAAAACAGGGCTCTGTCAGGCAGACTGATAGTTATTGATTGTGTTGTTGGATGACTGAATTATGAATGAAAGCAAAACATTTTACCTCTGATAGATATAAAGAAGTTGGGAGGGATATATAGGAATTTTGAATAACTTGCCAGTGTAAGTGTCTTGCACTCTACCTATTGTCTGGCAAATGGCAGAATCAATAACAGTGGATGGAGGGTGGGATAGATGGATGGATGGATAATCAATCTGTTCTAGTCATACAGAGTCAGAATGTTAAAATCATTCATGATCTAAACAACAATGATGTTTTTGAAATTATATTATGCAATATTATTTAGAAACCTCAAATAGTTTTATGGGTTGTATAATGAGCAAAAGAAAAAATCCAGCATTTTAAATATTTTAAGATTAGAATGGAAGACAAAGTATTTGGTGTGATACTGCTATTGGGTCTGAAAAGAATAACACACGTATTCTGAAATTATTCAGCAAGCTGAAGAATTGTGGAATGTCAGTGTGGAGGAGACTTAAAACTTTTTCATTTTAGGACAAGAAAAGGGAAAATATAACATGGAAATACAAAAGTTATGCCCGTGGCTAGCCTACCTTTATGAGCAGTTTCTGTATCTGTTAACATTTGACTCTCAAATTTCCCAGCTGCCAATTAGCCTGGAGCCTGTTCTGCACCACAGCTGCGAGGGGTCTGGCACACAAGCTCTGCACCCTATGCTGTGCCATAGCCTCACTACTTTAGCTGTAAGAATAAGAAGCTTCTAGCTGGAATGGACGGACTTGAAGTTAGTGGCTATGTGTATTGACAGGTACGTGCAGCTCCTTAAGTGTGCATGTGCTTACTACATATACATTCTAAATCCCAAATGAAGACCTACAGTCTGCAAGCACTTTATGGAGCAGTGAACTAAAATGTGTGTGTCAGCACTATCTGGGAAAATTCAAAGTACACGGCACTGTCAAGGCAAATCCACCCTGCTAAAGGGAAAATTAATGAGGCTGATCCTCTTTCCATCGACTTCCTTCAAGCTGCCCTTTGGTGATTGTTTGCTCCCTCGTTCTCTGATTCAGTCTAAATAAAACATGATGCTTTATAATTCTTCATTCATCCCACATTCCAAATACATTTGCCTATGTGTGCTGCCAGTATAATGGGAAAGGGATGTTATCTTAATTAATGTTTTTCACTTTACTTCTCTGGGTTCTATGCATTGCAATGGCCACATAGAACTCACAGGCAAAATTCATGATTAAAGAGTTTATTTGTTTATCTTTTGTTTTTTGATTAAAGAGTTTATAAAGGAAGTTAACTAGTTGCAATTCCCCTGAGAAATACTGGGAAGTGATTGGTTATTAGGACATTACAAAGTTCTCTCCGGTATGCTATGGGCTCAAAAGGCCAAATGGCATATTGCTGTGCTGGAAGCTTCCAGCAGAAGCATTCAGCTCAATCTCCACCGGTCAGCAAATCCAGCTCCCTGAAATGAAATGCCCAGAAGCACCGCACTCTAGTAAGTTTTAGCTTCAGGCACTCACCTCCATTTCCTTGGATCAGCAAGCCCAGCTTCCCCAATTAAGTGCCCAGAGGCACCCTATTCTGCAAGCCCATCCTTCTGCACAGAAGAACAGTTTTGTTTGCTCCTTGGGTTGGGGAGCAACCACCTCTCTTCCAGACCAAGGCGCTGGTTCTGCTGCCGCTTCTCTAAGGTAGCACTGTTTTCTGGGTCCCAGAGGTTCACAACACAGGTCCAGAGGACACACCACTCCTGGCTCTTGCTGGGAATGAGATCCCTCTTCCTACTTTTCAGAGAGCTCATTTTATACACAGCAGGATGGCATTCCATGGAATCCTGTTCACAATTACTCACAGGGGAATCATCTCAGTGTCTTCCCTATCCTCTTACCAGACTCCTGCCGAATAAGGTTGGTGGCAGTTAGAGACTGGCTAGAGGAATCACATTAAATAATTAACTGCCCCTGCGGGATGTGAGGTCATTGTTATTCTTTTCACATCACCTTGCATGCTTTATTACATGTATATCGAGACAAAGCTGAGAGCCTCTGAGCCATGCAGTGGTATCACAGATGTGTGTCTCAGAACAAATACAGCATAGGATTTATTAGGGGAAACATATAAGTAGGGATGTAGTAGTGTAGTGGGCCAGAAGAGATGTAATAAATGTTTCACATTATCTCTGGGTGTAGGATCCTTATAAAAAAAGGCTAATGTGTACAAACTTAGGGCCCTGGGAGAGTTTTGTCTGTTAAGGATCAGAACATTGATTAAAGGCCTTATTCACTCCCTACAGATGCTGCATCCAGGTGAGAAAGAAAAGCAAAGGAGAAAAAAAATGAGCTTCCAGTGCTATCCAAATCTGGCCTCCACTGTTGTGATGAAATAAATGGCTTAACTATGTCTCTTTCACAAATAGACCATGTGGAGCCCTACTAGAGGCCATTGATCAGTTTTCGTTGCCATTCCCTTGGCTGGAAAGATGAGCCATCTCAGAAGCAGAAATACAGAGAATCTCAGGACCAGCAAGGAAGAAGAGCCAGCAGTGAAGCACATTGGAGATCTCCGAAGTGGCAGAGGCTGAGCTCAGAGGAGGCTGTGTGGCCCAGAGACCATGGGACAGAGCAAAGGAGCCAGGCCTTGCCCGGAGGCAGAGGCAAGAATACTGTGGGACAGAACAGAGGAGCAGTGCAGAGATTGTGAGACAGAGGATTGGATAGACTTCCAGGCCCAGGGAGGCAGAGATCAAGGGAATTTATAGGTGAGAGGCTCGGGACTAGCGAGACAGGCAGCTGCCTGCTGAGGAGAGGTGTGGCTGTGGAGGATATCATGTCTTCTGATCCTAACTTGCAGTAATAAGCCCCTTTAATCATGAGTCTTACTTGTGAATCCTGTGTGGCCCTTTCATTAGAATTTGAACCTGACAGGAAAGTAGAATTATATTGGAGGAACAATTGGTGTCAGAATCGAGTAAAAGAGGGATGAAGGGTGAAGGCCTGTCTGACGACAATAGAGAAGTCAGAAGAGGTCCGATACGGCCTCCACACAGCTTTCTCAGCCTTACTAAATCTGATATAAGTGCCTTTGTTTTGCAGAAACTTAGTTCTGGAGATAGAAGTGATGTGCCCAAGGTCACACCAAGAGAAGTCAAACTCTGTCTAAAACTCTGTTGAATGACCTACCGCCTCATTGTTCATCACAGCCTGATGGCTTCTCTTGCTCTTGGGGTAGAATAACAGATGTGGATTTTTGCATTTTTAGAGTCTTTGGGAGGAGCCCTGGTAGTATAGTGGGTTATGTGTAGGGCAGTTAACTGCAAGGCCACTATTTTGAGTCCACCAGGAGCTTCATAGGAGAAAGATGAGGCTTTCTACTCCCATTCACAGTTACAGTCTTGGAAACCCACAGGGGCATTTCTACCCTGGCCTATAGGGTTGCTATAGGAATTGACTTGAAGATGGTGAGTTTGGTTTTGAGTTTGGAAGAGTCTTTGGATGATAAGCTCCCAACTGAACCAGCAGACCACTTAATTTTCAGTATGTATTCTAAGGAATCTTAGTCCCAGTACAGTGCTTCCTTAAAGAAAAGGGTTCTGGGACTTAAATATTTTACTGAGTCTCAAATCATTCGCTGAGTGAAATTAGTAGTCCTGGGTTCATTCTGACCCTTGCTGCCTGCAGCCAACAGCACTAACTTCCAGTAGGAGAGTGCAGCCCCGCAGGCCCTTCAGCCCCGGCCCAGCCTGGATATCTGCAGCCGCAGCCTACAGTTTGTTTTCAGCGTCATGAGAGACCCTGAGAGAGTCGACATGTGCCTTCCGAAACACGTGTTTATTGTTCTGAGTCACTAATTGTGGAATAACTTGTTACACAACAATAGATAACTGATATACTGCATATAAAGTCATTGTAATTCAGTTCAATAAAAACGTGATCTCAGTGGATTAAAAGTCTTGGAAAATTGAAAGAAAACTGGATCACATCTATCAAGAAACAAGATAGGACTGGGGTTGCTTGTCCATGTTAGACAGTACCCTACATTAGAATTGGAAAGCCAGGGGTAAAGACATGATAGACAGTTATCCCTTATCACTCCACCTCACCCCAGTATGTAAACATCCTCAAGACAAGAACTGTTTTATTATAGCATCCACCTTTGAAGTACCTGATTGGGCGGAGAAAGAAGTAGACGTGATGTTCTGTCACAACATGTAAGTAAAGGCTGACTGAGGACTTCCGGGAGGCGGTACTAATAAGAGGATTAATTTTTGCCTCCAGTTGAGGAGAGCCTCATCCCATCTCAAGATTGTGATATACTTTAAAATGCCCATATTGTCCCAATAGCTTGCCCCTGCTTCTTTTCCCATTCCCCCTTTCTCTATCAAGCTACAGGGAGATTAGATAAATAGTTCCAGTTGTGGTAGTTATATAATTTCACATCAACGTGATATATAAAAGTGGAGTCTAGCCTGTCAATCAGATTACAGCCTGATGATACTTCTTTGTGGCCATGGCCTCATAAGGAGGGCCCTGGGGAACCCACCCACCCACCCACCCACACACACCTTTTGTGCCTTCACCTTTATGCTGGTGAGCCACACTGATAGCTCCCAGAGCCCTGTGATGTAGCCACCGCCATTGTACCCACACATCTTTTACACCCACCAGCCTGTGATCTTCCTGCATTCTGCATCATTGCATGTGGCTGTGTGAGTCCGAAGAGGGATCTATGGGCTAGGGTTGCACTTAGGAACTGATATTGGACTTAAGGACTTGAGTTTAAACCCCTACTAATTCAAGATGATAATTTTTTAAAATGCTTATGACGTGCGTGATCTCATTGTGTTAATTGGAGCCCCCTTTTTTTGTGTGGCCAGTGACAGAAACCCAAGGTAACATTAGCTTAGACCAGGAAACTTGTGAAGGGACGGGGCATGCAGTAGTGCATCCGGGTCCCAGGACAAGAAGGTTGCTCTGTCTTGTCTTAGCCACTTTCTGCAGATGCAGAATTTCCTGAAGTTAAGGAACATGATGTAGAAAATATCTTACAATTCCCACTACTAGGGAAAAGTGACATCCCCCCCCCCATCACCCAACTCTGGTCCCCAAAATATTTGGGAAGGACTCTGAGAGGCAAGGATGGAGAAGCTTCATTTCATGTATTTTGGATTTGTCATGAGGAGCTCTCAGCCCCCGGGGAAGGACATCATGTTTGGTAGTGTACAAGGGCAATGAGAAAGAGGAAGACCCTCAAGGAGATGGATTGACCCAATAATGGGCTCTTCAGGTATAGGAACAATTGTGAGGATAAGGTAGATCGAGCAGTGTTTCCAATGCTGTGGGTCAGGATGTACTCAATGGCCCCTAACAACAGTAAACAGGGGCTAGCAGCCCCCTAAGGACCCAGTCAACTCTAGTGAGGGGATGAGATCACATAGCACAGTCACCACGATGTGGGGCCAACCACCACCTCGGGGATTCACAGAGAAGGGACACCAGTGCTCCAGTTAGTGTATGCCACGTCTTTCCCCCCTTTGCTTTGGAAGGCCTCTGGATCTGAAAGAAAAGATAACATTGATAGAGTTTAGCTGCAGTCTGATGGAATTAAAGGGACAGCAAAGTCTAACTTCAAATCCGAGGAAAGAAACATGCCCTTATTACTGTGTTAAAGGAGTCAGTTTGACAAGATTTCAAACATTTCTCCTCACAAGCCCTGAAACAATGGTTTTAGGACTTTCTCTCTCTTTTTTAAAAATCATTTTATTGGGGGCTTGCACAACTCATCACAATCCACCCATCCATCCGTGGTGTCAAGCACATTTGTATATTTGTTTCCCTCATCCTCAAAAATTTTCTTTCTACTTGAGCCCTTGGGATCAGCTCTTCATTTTTCCTCTCCCTCTCCTACCCTTTCTCCCTCACAAACCCTTGATAATTTATAAATTGTTATTTTGTCATGTCTTACACTGTCCGACGTCTCCCTTCACCCACTTTTCTATTGTCTGTCCCCCAGAGAAGGGGTTATATGTTGATCCTTGTAATTGGTTCCCCCTTTCTACCCCACCTTCCCTTCACCCTCCCAGTATTGCCACTCTCACCACTGGTCCTGAGGGGTTCATCTGTCCCGGATTCCCTGTGTTTCCAGTTCTTATCTGTACCAGTGCACATCCTCTGGTCTAGCCGGATTTGTAAGGTAGAATT